TTTTCACTATTTATGTTACGAGTCTAATGTAATAGGAAGTGAGTCTATTGGCATATAGAGGTACTGGGCACAATTCTAGCATCCGTGCTACTTATTAGATTTTTAAAAACCCAGTAATACTTTGCTCGATCTGGGAATCGAACCAAGACCCCTTGCCCGGCAGTCGCACCTGCAACCTCTCGGCCAACGAGACAGTCAACTATAATTTATTAAAATATCTTACTAACTCTAATTATAACCGAGTCATTGACACATTGTGTTCCCGAAACGATCTATCAAGATAGGAACGGAAATATTAACTGATATTTATGATAACTTCTATTAATTCTCATATTTCTAATCTGCATATTGAGACGGAAATTGTTTTATCGTTTTCCCAGAACTAGATTAGCCCTCCTGTGATTTTATGCCTAAATAATGGAAATACTACCTACAAATACTTGGCCTTTCAGTAAACAAAGTGTATTCAAGTAGGTAATCTCCTTAAACCAAATTTCAGTCAGTCATAACTTATCACAAACAATAACTGTAAAGTTACTTTACAGTTGTTTGTTTATTGACAGTTATTGTAAATATTAACATACACCTAACTGCGCTTGCGCATCCATACAACACACAAATGAAGTAAAATATACCTACATAAAGTGAAAACAACAATTGACAAATGTATAAATTATACCAAACTAGAAGGAAAAGTTGGTCAGCAGAAGAATTGCATTAAGTATAAAAACAGAGATAACTTACGATAGGTAGATGGCAGTTAAAATTACCTGCTTAATTGAGGAAAACCAGTCGACATGCAACGTTGTAATGTAACCGTGCTGGGAAACCCCACAACTGATACTGACGTCAGTGGCATAGTCGAAAGTAGGAAAATGAAATATTTTTACGAAACGCCAGGACGTGCATCTTTAGATACATCATTTTATAAATACATTATTATATTTAATTTCTAAATATTCCATGTTTTGTATCAGTTAAGACTGTTATCCAACAAAATGTTAAAATACACGACGAAAACATTAGTTCTTCCATAAATATTATAGATAGGTAACCAGATACCACTACTTACATATGTATTTGTTGGACTAGACTGATTAGCTACCTACCTATGTGATTTGTTAACACTTGTGTGTGAATTAAAACTAAATGAACATATCAAACAGTGGTCATAACCTTTTCAGAAGTTACTTAACCAGAAGAATAATCTATAAACTATAGTTCACAAGATAAACTTAAGGAAGTACGTAGTACATACTAAACGGAGTCAAGGCAATGGTTTTCGCAATATTTGTGCCCGCGCCCGCGCCTGCGCAGTCTGCAGCCCTGCGCGCACGTAGTGAAAGCCAATCTTGCACAACTGCAGATCTTAGAGCGAAATACGTCTCGATTTAAATGGTAAATTAAATGCACTTTATGCAAAACTACTTGCAATTTAATCGCCAGTATTATTTGCGAGATCTGCAAATGGGTTTGAAAATAATGTTTGTGAATATCGTTCTTGTCATAAATTAAGAGTCTGTTTAACAATGTCTAGATAGTCACTTTGTATCAAACTAAGAACGTAATTTATATGAACTGTCTGTCAAATAAGTTAATCGGGATACTTATATGTATGAAGGTGTGTGCAATAGGCTACATTCTACATTTGCAGTTAAACTACAAATACCTATGTAACGATCTAACTAATCACACCTGGCGACCATAAAGTCACGTTCCCCTAGATTACAACCTACATACTATAAAGTGACAGGTGATCATCTGCCTGCAGTAGATTGCACATGATTGTCATTTATTTTTATATAGTCTCGTCATGTGGGTTTTCCTGAGGTTTTCCTGTATCTACAACTTACATATACCCAGTAGTTAACCACTTAGTAAAATGATAGTGGCTGTACGGTTTTATAGGTTATCTAAAAATCCCCGGTGTGATATTTTTAAATTATAGTGATATCCGCGTTCAGGCAAAGGCAACATTGCCGACGCATCATCCTGTTTTAGGCGGACACATTTTAATAGATTTTTTACTTTATTACAAAACTTTAAAGTTGAAATTCTGTCCACAAATAAAAATATTCAGGTAATACATAGACACATGGTACTAAGAGACTGATTGAAATCAGTAGAATGATTGTTGGACACTGGCATGTTATTTTCAGGTACTTAGCGTACATGAAATGAAATAGAGAATTATAGTTGTAACAAACAAGAATGTCTTCTTTGCCTTAAAATATAAACGAATAATGTCAAATGTAAAACATAACATCACGCCTTTTATCCCCGAAGGGGTAAGCAGAGGTACACATTACAGCACTTAATACCACTGTACAATGAAACACCCACTTTTCACTATTTATGTTATTAGTCCCATGTAATAGGCGGTGAGCCTATTGCCATATACCGAGCACAATTCCAGACAGACAGAAAAAAAGACTCCGTGCTACTACTGATAATTTTTTAAAACCTCGCTATGCTTTTCCTGACCCGGGAATCGAACCCGAGACACCTTGCCGAGCAGCTAGCTAGTCTCTACTAAATCATAAAATATCTAACTACGAATAAAGCTACATTTTTCAGTATTCAAGAATCATATTTTTCTTTGTATTTCTCTTACATACATACATACCATACATATACCTCATTAATAAAACAACACCTACTTTTGACACTGTAATGGCACCGTTTATTTGTTTTCTACCAGCTGTACCAACAATACCTATGAATCACAATAGTCATATATTTTCAGGTAACAAACATGTCTGTAATTTATAACTAATGAGTGTTTCTGTAGGTGCCTCTCAAGTCTTTAGTTTATTGTCTTTCAAATAATAGTTAATGGGTCACGACATAACATAATAAGAATAATATATTTGTGTTGTGACAAACATAACTATGTATCAATGCATGTAACACATGTCTATGGTGTTTACATTATGTATGTACAGCCGTACACCCAAGTTATTTACTACGCAGGTAAGAAAACAAAGATTAATTCTAAAGAGACAGTAGCTATTGTAACACTAAATTGTATGCTTTTTTACGAAGCCATATCTTTTGTAACCATTAGTCGACTCAGGAGCCAACGAATGGTTGCTGTCTCTACACTGAATTAGGTGCATACCAAATAAAACTGGTGAAAAGTGGATCATCTGCCCATGTACTCGATACCCCGGGAATAATGGTTGTAATGTTAATATTAGCTGTGTATTATGTACGTGTGTTTGTTTTAATGGCTTTGTATTTGTACAAATACACATGATACATACATGTATTAAACAGTAAGGAGAAACCGTAAAGAGCTCCACAAGTTTATACATAAATTGAATATTTACCATGGATGACCTCTGTTAACTCTGTAAGATTGATATAACTAATAGATATAGTTAGTTAATTAAACATATAGACGCCGATGAACAACTATCTCATTGATAACGCAACTGAGCCCACGATGCACATACTACAACATACAAATTACTTAGTAGCCAGGTAGGCACACACATAGTATATGTACTTGTAATGCCGATAACCCAAATTCAATATTTATGATTATTGATTTAAATCATGGACAGCACTTTTACGACAACTATTTCGTTAGATAAGTCGCGTATACTAATTTAATTTTATAATGCTTTTATTTATTGGTCAATTTGGTAATTAAGTTATCTACAATATGTGGGTTAATTTGTCAAAATACTCAGAACACCTTTATAATATGAATACCGGGGCCTAGTCCATTATTTATTTGTTTTCCTTAACCGAATCCCAGATTGTATATACAGTTTTGACGTATTTCACGTAGACAGACAACAATGGTATCGATACTAACCACGAAAACCAAAAATATATTTCGGAGAAACACATACATAGGTACCTAGTTAGGTACCTACGCATTTTCTGATACATTTTCCTTAAAACATCAATACTTTTAATCTTCTACAATCTACTTATAGTTAGCCAAGTTATTTAGTATACAGACAAGAAAATAAAGATTGCACCAATGACGACATTGTACCGTCCTGGAACTAACTATAGAATTATAAATATTTTTGTTGTTCTACTAAATCGTTTTAAGTGTGGGAGAGCCAAGCTTCAGCACGAATGGGCCGGCTCGACCGGAGTGATACCACGGCCGAGCGGAAATTCGACGTGAAACAACGCTTGCATTGTGTTTCGTCGTATGACTGAGGTTACCGAAGGCCCAATTGACCCCCCTCCCCAGTCTTTCCAATCCCCGACTCCTCCACAATCCTAACATTAACAATTCCCAAAATTGCCTCGTTTACGGGCTTATGCCATTTAAAAAATCGGACACTCTTAACTGTCGTAATCATTAGTCGGTATACTGTCTCTGAACTAGATGAAATTATTTTGTCACCTGCATTGCAAATGACTTGGATGACTATGTATGTTATACTGAATGAGTTTAACCATGACAATAATGAAGTTATCGATTTGATGAAATTGTTGGAAAACGCTAAATATACATGAATACATGTGCTGCACGTATACAGTTGTTGTGTAGCGGCGAGCGTGTCACTGCGTGTGCGTTGTGACCCGCCCGCCATTATGTACGAGCTCACCTCAACTGTTGTACACATGTTATTGTTGTTGTTGATTGTAATCATATTATTATCGCACCTGTAACTACTTTTATGTATATGTTTATTACCTGGTAAATTGATAGGAACTTATGATTAATGTAAATTTTACAAAACATTTAATTTACACAAGGTTCGATAATTCGAACCAACAAATAAGTGGTCACTGATTTCTTTGGCTACGGTTATAAATTAGTAGCACTCAGTGACAATAAAGCAATGCATTGCCATAAGCAAGCTACATAACCATCTTTAATAATAAAGTATAAACTAAGTAAAGTCCTATATAACATATGGTATAATATAAATAATTACACCAGTCACATACGCAATAACTTAGTATAATGTACAACTACTCTGACTAAAGTGATTCTAAATATCTATTGCAGAAAGCCGTGAAAAATGAACCACATGGATCATATGGACCACATGGACCACGGCCAGCACCCCGACCACGGTGGACACGACGGCCACGACATGCACGACGACCCCTGCGCACACGCAGGCCACGGACACGCCATGGTGGTGAGTACTATATACATGCATTTTTTCAAATTACATATAAAAAGGCAAAATTAAAAATCTTAAAAAAAATGAAGTATTAGGTACCACAGATAAAAAAAAAAAAAAATAAAAAATAAAAATAAAAAAGTTTATTTCAATTACAAAAGGCATTACATAAAATTATTGGAGATCACCTTTTAAGCAATGGATTGCTTGTGTTAGGAGACTCCGCACTTCCACATGACATTCTAAGTAATTGAATTTACAATGAAGATAATGTAAACACAGATATAATAAAGAAGAGTATTACAATGTCCTCTGGCCTTTTCCCAGCTATTTTTGAAGTCGGCACTAAGCTGAATACGTAACAGAATTTTTCAAATAGAGCAACTGTCATCTGCCCTCTGTACTACAACCTACCATCTACCAATAATGATACCGCATTCCTAGTTAGAACCCTTCATATAAAACGCTTCTTCCTAGCTAAACCAACTACCGTTGATATTAATATATTAAACCAAACATAGGTATTTGAAGCGAAATATTTACTCCACATAACTCAAAATATTACGTAACATGGAGTTTACACACACATACCTACATAATTATACATATTTATGTAAATAGGAAAATGTGTGTCAATAAACTGTAGACTAGACGAGACTAGTAGCCGGCTATCATTAATTTCATAATATGTTGATACTTTGATAGTTAAATACTACATATGTGTTGTTATCAGTCCCTTATCACCTGCGGTCTGCGGCCACTCTTTTGCCATTGATAGGAGTTAGACTTCACTCGGTAACTATCGGTTTGTGGTGACAGGAAGTGACGTAACTATTCAAAGTAATGTCTAGTTGTGTAAATACATTACAAAGTGTAATTGTAAAGTTTAACGCGTGCGCAGACACGTGTGAGAAACTTAAGTTTTTTATGTTTACCACTTAGCGCACCGCAATTTTTGTCACACATTAGCTGGCTGTAGCTACCAGCTAAGCCGTACTGTTGAATGAGTAGTGCTATTCGACTGTTGAATGTATGTACCTACGTTTAACATAAAATCGCAGCTGCACATACGCTTAGAATGAATTAACACGAACGCCGTACAAAACGCCTGCACGGTATATAATGAGATTTTTCTCTCACATTATCCTCTTCACAATACCGGGGGCTGGGCTCGCTGCCATTGCAGCGGTAAGTCCCCTCTTTGAGGAGTGGCTTGAGAGACGCTACGGCGTCCTCACCTACCGCCTGACGCAGGTCCTCACCGGACATGGAAGTTTCGGGAGGTACCTGTGTCTGATGGGGCGGGAGGAAACGCCCGGGTGTCATCACTGCGAGGACCGCCCTGAGGACACGGTGGAACACACAGTGGGAGAATGCCCTGCGTGGGCTGAGCACCGCCGTGCCCTCAGGGAAGTGATCGGCGATGGCGACCTCTCGCGTCCGGGCCTAGTGCAGGCCATGATGCGGAGCGAGGGGGATTGGGATGCCGTCTCCTCCTTTTGCGAAGCAGTCATGCTAGCTAAGGAGGAGGCGGGACGCGTGAGGCAGCGAAGCGCTGCCTCCTCGCAACCCAGCCATCGCGAAGGACACACCGGGCGTCGGGGATCGCGAGACGATCTCCGGCCACCGTAAGCGCGGGCCTGCGGACGGCGAGCATGGGTGGCTCCCCGTCCGACCAGAAACAGACCCGAGCGTACGGCGCGTCGCGTTCCGCGCGCGCCTCAAAGAGCCATCAGACCACCACAGATGGGGCCCAATAGGGCCGATGCCGATTCGGAGTCGCGGAGAACCTAACGGGTAACCGGGGCTCCGGCTCGACGTGCAGGAGAAGGAACGGGGTGGTTTTTAGTCAGTAAGAGTCTGACACTCCCTTCCGCCTCACCCAGGCGGGAGCAGTCATTCGATGATTTTCCCCCCTTAAAAAAAAAAAAAAAAAAAAAAATCCTCTTCACAATGTTACAAATTGATTACGCCTAATGTATGCAAATGTAGATTATTGTGAATTTCCCGTGGTTCGCGGTGCAGCGCCCGCGCATACGATAAACACGCACATTCCTTCACGATTGTACTGAAACTGAGAAATTCGTGTCTGTATGTCAGTCGGTGTGTTTGTTTGTCACCACACTGCCAACGGCGCGCGCGCAGTTTCCTGTGACACCTTTATGACAGTCATCATTCTCCATTATTAATTAGAAAATGTATGTAAAATATATTTTTTTCAATATTACATACATATAGGTCTGCACTGCCTTAAAGAACATAATATACAAGAGACAAGAAATTAAATTGAACTAGCGAGTAGTCAGGGCACTTGCGTGTACATTAAACATTTTGAAAATAATCCTCAAAATACGTACTTTACAAGTAAATACATAATACGGATATGTATTTATTGAGGCCCCGACCCCGAACTCATTTCTTCGTCCTTCATACGTTTAATATTCCAGTGTTAGCTAAGTAGTAAGCAGTCGCTTGTCCGTATCTCTAACTGGAGTATATTGACATCATATCGTGAGAAACGCATTGTTATGCAAGAATCGTAAAAGGAAACGTCTGCCAGTCATTCAGTAATTTTAGGAAAATAAATAAAGTGAATTCTAATATCTTGACCCGACTTCGTGAGAAAGCGTTTATGTAGCTCACAGGCATACAAGGGTTTTTTTATTAGGTATGTGTTGCAAAAAATCTTGAAAGATCTCTTTTAATAAAATTCTATTGCAGACCTAATTCCTAAGTTGCATTCCCAAGTCTTTCAATTTTTGAATTATTAATAATTAATAATTTATATTAATCTTCCTCATTTACACTTCCAGTTCCACGCAGGCGTGTGCCAGGAGATCCTGTTCAGCGGTTGGATGACAACCAACGCGCTGGAGCTGTTCGGGTCAGCAGTGGCAATCTTCTTCGCCGGAGTGTTATATGAGGGCCTCAAGTACTTCCGTGAGGCCCTGCACGCAAGGGCTTCGTCCTCCACCGGCGACTCCAGGGTCAACATCACCAAGAGCGAGTGCGGAGCTAACGGACCCTGCGGAGGAACTGCTGTCGTCAAGTAAGTTAGCGTGTCATGTAAAAGCCAAAAGATAAACTTTGTTACACAATATTTCATTAAGTAAAAATCGCCTTGGCCCGTGGTCATCTCATTAATTACTTCAGCAATTCAATTACTAGGTTCAGTTAGTGTGCTCTAGATTTATGTGTCGATCACTCGTCGGCCGGCGCGCGGAGTGGCGCGGTGTGGACATTAATTACTCTAATGTCGAACGCGTCCGTCTGCTATCGAATGACACACGACAAGCCAATTAATTAACGACCGAATCTAAATTAGCAAGGAGTGTTATATATTTTGAACATAGTTTAACTCGTCGAGTACCGGTTTTATAGACACAATTAAAGAACAATAGGTTGCGGTCACCGGTGACCGCTTGGTGTTTGACAGTTTAATAGTTAGTTAAACAATACTTAAGCAATCGGTACAATTTAAAATGCTTTTTAACTGCAACTGCTTTAAGCATTTTAACTGGTAAGTTATGGATACAGAAATATAAGAGACGTTTGTACCTTCCAGATACACGATGTTCTCGTCGGGCCACGTGATACAGACATTGCTACACTTCCTACAGTCGACCGCTTCCTACACGCTGATGTTGGTGTTCATGACGTACAACGTGTGGCTCTGCATCGCGCTGGTGCTGGGCCTGGCTGTCGGATACTTCTTCTTCGGCTGGCGGAAGAACACCGTCGTGGACGTCAACGAACACTGTCAATGATGCTCAACTTTATGGAATGGCTTCAGACCCTCAGTTTGCATTCGAAGATTTTGTGACATACCGCCCGCGCACATGCTTAACCGCACAATCAATTTAGTTTTCATGAAACGATGTATGATGCGACTTAGTCGCAAGCGTGTGGTCGCACTTTGTATTGGTCTGTGCTTGCTTTATATAAGTACACATTTCTTCTTCTTAAGTTCAAATCATAAGCATTAGCATGCTCGCAGAAAGACTCAGAACTCGCTTAACTCACCTCCTAAAAACGTGTGTAGAGAAATAGTAAAAAATTAATGACATGAGCAGAACTACTTCCGCGGTGTGTTTGATTAGAAATTCACGTTGTATTTGCTTGATTTCTAATCTCACAAATCGGTAGTAGCTGGCTACTCATTGCAATGTTATTTTTAAAGGACGTAAACCACGAGAAAGTGAATTATATTACATGCTTGCTAAACCACTACAGGAGCACAGACCTAAACAAGCTAAGTTATAAAAGAGAGCTATCGATATCTGCCATCACTGTTTTATAAGAAAGTCTACGAAAGCCATCCCAATGAAAGTGATTTGTTAAAACACCCATTGATATTGTATTAATTAATGATATACTATACGTATGTACCTAGGTAACGTAGGCAGGTACTGTCTCTGTAAAGGCTGTCTATATATTCCATTTTTTGTATTTGCAATATTAGTTACTAGTTAGGTCTTAGTGTAATTAATGTAAGATAGAAGTAGGTAATTTAATTCTAAGAATAAAAATGGTTGTTTCTGTGCCGAAAAAAATTGGATTTAACTTCAAAAAAGTACCATAGTCTTATGAAATACAGCATTACCTACGTTAAGCAATTCGACTGCATGAAATGTACATGTTCATAGATACGACAATGCATATACAAGTACGTAATTATAGATATTACTACGAAACAGTAACTGATACGCCAATATATCTACTTTCAACCAAATTTCAAAGCAACACAAGCCGTCTAAATTGCTATTACCTTATACTAATATCTTACCTATTTCTAAATTATTTATAAGTAGATGATTATGTGATATTCAGCTATAATATTATTGTTAATGTATTATTCGAAGAGATTTTAAACATACAACATTCCTAACTTTATCTTGGAATTGATAAAAATTCATATCTTTTTGAGTGCCTATGTAAAGTTAAGTAAACTCTGAAATATATCATGTTGACATACTATCTATGACCTTCGATGACCGAAGAGTACAACACTTTTTATTTGGAACACCATAGCACCTCTGGTGCAGCAGACGTTCATAGACTACATCCATCAGGGGATCGTAAGGTTAACTTTACGGTATAAAACACTATTGTATCTATATCTGTACTAAATGTAACGAGGACCAGTTTATACTCCTTAGGTATTAATTATCCAGTCCTCTATAAGAGAGTGGAGCAAATCTTCTAAGACCATGTAGTCTATAGTCCCTACGTGTGGCAGCTCCCCTGGTCACCAGGGTAGAAGGACTAAGTACAACAATATGTCCATTCGAAATAGCAGCCTCCATGTTGAAATATTTGTACGTATTTAGTAAGAATAGTAATCAATACAATTAAGTTATATTAAGCACTAATAGTTTCTTGCCATGCCTGGATATCGTATAATAAAACTTGTGTACAATACTTACGACTTATTGGTTTTCTTTTTATTCTAAGTTCCTTAGTAGTATTTTTAATCGCTGCCAATACCTTTACCTTTTTTTTTTGAGGGGGGAAAATCCAATAGCTTCTCCCGCCCGCGTGTGGCGAGAGGGAGTCTCTTACTGACTAAAAACCACCCCGTTCCTACTCCTGCACTTCGAGCCGGAGCCCCGGTAACCCGTTTAGTCTTCCGCGACTCCGTATCGGCATCAGCCCGGTTGGGCCCCATCTGTGGTGGTCTGATGGCTCTTTGAGGTGCGCGCGGAACGCAACGCGCCGTACACTCGGGCCTGGTTCTGGTCAGGCGGCGCCAATACGTAGACCTACTATTTATACATAACATCACGGCTTTTATCCTCGAATGAGTAGACAGAGGTGCACATTATGGCAATATAATACAATGTAACACCCACTTTTCACTATTTAAGTTATGAGTCCCGTGTAATAAGGGGTGAGCCTATTGCCATATACCGGGCACAATTTCGTGCTACTACTGAGAATTTAAAAAAAACAGGTAATACTTTGCTCGGCCCGGGAATCGAACCCGAGACCCCTTGCCTGGCAGTTGCAATTGCGACCACTCGGCCAACGTAGCTGTCTAAGGTTGAATCACAAAACTAAGGTTCATTCCCGTCTTCCCACACAAATCTTCCCCCTAAAAGAAGAAAATAGATATTTCCTATAGTCTGTCTGTAACCTACGTACTGTAGGATCCTGAACAAACGAATGAGCTATAGTATATACCTATTTCTATTTACGTTCCTTAGTTCTACCCACCTAACCTGTTCACTCACACATACATAGCCCAGTTAAGTATGTGTGTACAGTATTACACAAGCGATGTGTACCGCGTTACTCATAAGTCTAACTAAACCGTTAGTCAAGTAATTGAACATCAAAAGCAAACTAAAGAAGTTCTTACTGATTTTTTTTTTAAAAGAAGAATCAACTTAGTAAGAAATAGGTAATTAGAAATACCTGTCAAGTCTGCAAGCTCGAAATAAAAAGTCAAATGTGACTCGAACGAATGCGCTGGCGCAGCGTGCGTTTGCAGAGCAACCAGTCGTAACACTACGCGTTGCTAGTTCGATTCTAGAACTGACAGTCCATTATCTATTAATTAGATTGGAGATACCTGCCCAAACTCCGGTACATATCTCGTATTACAAAAAGCATTATCGTAACGGAATTCCCGGCTCCATAATTAATTGAATGGGTCATTATAGGTATGTTGATGGCTAATGAACTGTAAAGGTAAGATCTGTTATCTTATCTCACTGTAATAAGTACTAAAACGAACAATTCCGGGACTGACGTGTCCTACTGAAACCTAAACAATGTCTTACAGGTAGTTACCTAACACCGAAATGTTATGTTATGGATAAACAAGAACCTGTTTGTTAACAAAACATTACATAATTTAACGGATGTACAAAGGTGCTTATAATTGCACCACTTCTGGTGTCCGTTTGACGCAGGTAAGTAATTTACTTGGTAGTTGTGATGTGAACTCTAAATTCACACTAGAATTCGTAAAACACACAAACGTATCGACAACTGCCAAGCAGGTCAGAAGTCAGGGGTACTAACCTAGGATCCTTTCTAGTAGTTTTACAAACAGAGCTTTAATAAATTGTATGAAGGTAATCATCGCGTAATGATAGAAATAGACATAGTAATCTCAATGTAAAACGCTGAGGCCTCAATTAGTTATGCTAACTGAAGGAATGCAATAGAAACTAAGCTCGCTAATTTATAAAGTAAACATTATTGTATAAACGGGGTCGTTAAACATCTGGCGTCCGGTTTTAGCGGATTTGAGTGACGTAGTTCAATCATTCAAATATACGTAAGTCAAAATTAATAACGGAATCCTGGTAGCGATTAATACTGGCTTGTAGATAACATATTAATATTATATTAATCGATTAACTCATCAACACTAAAACATCGTTATCACTCTGCAATATGAATGAAGATTTTCGTAGATAGACTTGAGAGTTTCACACATTCATACCCTTGGGCTATCTATTTCTTGTACATACGTGCTTAAATTCATCAATGTGTGCGTACATCAACATTCCGTTCAAAAACGCTGCCAAAAAATTACACTGAAAAAACAAATTACGCTTTACCCTGAGACATTATTTGAAATAATTACATTAATTTAACTTTTTTAGACCACAATTGTTCGTTTCGATGAATATGAAAATAAAATGAACTTGTAAATAGGAGTATTTTTGAAGTAAAATCAGAAAACAGGTTTGAAGTATTGTATAATGTCAACATAAGCAAAACGAGTGTTTCCGAACGAAACCAATGTCATGTCAAGTAAAATGTGACGGGAGAGGGTCCCATGTTTTGCCTTTTGTAAATTTACTTGTTGATTTTAAATAAGAATTTAATGAGAATTTAGTGAACAATTGTTATATCGCGCCCAGGATAGCTATGTTATAGTTGTATAAGTGCACAAAGTGTTGGCGACTCATCGTACCGCCTCTACAGCCGCCGATTGTTCAGGTAACGGGATTTATTTATGACAACGTCGATATTTTCTTGGAAACGTTTACTTGTTTGGTTTTTATTTATTGTAATCTGTTAATATGACCTTTGACTTGATAATTAGTAACAGTAGTTGCAAATAATTGTGTTTGTGTACGCAGTGATTACGTTAAGTAAATTTGGGCGACATTCGAATTTCGCGAAGCGGAACTAGAGAGAATGACAAGTGCACGGGCGTGCTGACCTGCTGATGTTCCATGAAGGTGTTATACAATGTATCTGTATTTGCTTGTCATAGTAAAAAAGCGATTTTTAGCTTCGGTTTATTTGACAACAGATTATAATTATTTAACATCTACAGTAACAGACCTCTTTATTTACTTCTCTTCCGAAAACACGAGTTTATACAGGTCATTATCATCATGGTCTTCCTCCTCCTCCTTGCTATTGAGCATATCTTCAGTTTCCTCATCTGAGACCTTGTGTGCTCTGTGGAATTTTGTATAAACTTTGTCCCAGAACTTTAGCCGTGGATTATGATGTGGTGACACTGTCAGCCGGGTGGGACCCAGGTGTAGTACTTGCACGTCCGATATGTGGATCTGGGAGTCTCCCTCAGTATGCACTGACTGCCATATTAAAGGGATGAATGCCGTGGTCAGTGGTGTGGGGTCTCTGAAACATAATATTTATTTATTCTCAAGAAGACATCCAAACATTATTAATGCATCATTGCTTACCACAAGGCCAGATAGTGGCCAAACATGGGAATAAGGGAGAACAATGAGAACTTTTAATAAGGAAAGAGCTCAATACATATAAAGATAATAATGTTTAAAACCATAAAACATTATTAATATCATATTTATGTCTCACAAAAGTTATAATACAAGTACTTTCATGTAGGGGTTGGGACTTATTTATATAAGCTGCACATAAACTTTTAGAAGACTACACACATAAAACTAAAAAATATGTAAACAATATACTTAACCACGCAGTTGTGTACATACCCTAATGTTTTGAAGTTCCTTAACAACATTGTTACTAGTTCACCAAACAAGTTGATTTGCGCTTTATCTTTATGCAAGTAGTCGAGTATTGTGTCCAAATTGGTCGACTCTGGCTTATCCGAGTCTTCATTTACCTTAGGCAAAGTGAATTTCATGACATACACTGGGTATGCACTCTTGGCTGCAAACATCATTGCCACCTTGATAATAGGGTATTCCACCAAAATGTCCTGTGCGTAGTAAGCATAGTTGTGCACCATGCTGTTTCTAGTAAAGTCATCGGGAAAATAAAACTTTTTCACTATCTTTGCTACTTCACTTTTAACTTTTTCATTTTTAAATTCCAAGTTGTGTGGAAGTAAGTATTCGAAATGGTCTGGAGGCTTTTCAAACTTCTTTAGATCAGTTCCAAGAATAGATGCGGTGTCTCTTGGTGTGAATGTGAGTATCATGGGCACATTGGTAAATAATCCGTCTTCCAACTTTCGCATGGGATCTACGTCTATGAGGTTATGAACATTATCTGTTGTGTTGTCAACACAAGGACAAAATATTTCAGGGATTGTTACCAGCTCTTCATCTGAAGCTTTTAGGTAAAACTGGTACAGTTCATCTGGGTCATCTGAACCTGTGTAACCCAAAAATGAGGCTCCAGTATAGGCTGTACCGAGAGGATCATACGTGAGGGCGGCAGGAGACAGCACTGACCCTGCTCTAGAATAACTTTATGTAAAAATCCTTCAACTAGTTCAGACAATAGAATCAACTGTACAGTGATGGCAGCTGCCTCCGTGGCATACACAGTGACGTCTTGAGGGTTTCCGCCAAACTGATGGATATTTCTGTGTACCCAGTACAGGGCTGCTATCTGATCTTTCAGCCCTGCGTTCCCTGGGACATCAGGAGTCCGGAGACACAGGAAACCTAGACTTCCGAGCCGGTAATTGAACGTCACGATCACATTGTTGCCCTCCTCGAGGAACAGAGCGGGAGGTCGGTGCGCGCCCCACCTGAAAACATTTCTCTTTTATTTCCGCACTACGGAAGCTAACTATGTTATCAATATGCAAATTGCAAGTTGATAGAATATGTTTTTCTAATATTGCTTTTATATTCGTAACATTGGCAGTAGTAACTAAAAGTTTTGGCTCAACATACAAAAAGTATTCTTCCCTACTTATGCTACTAAAAAGGTAACGTCATACGAATGACGTCATGGTATGGTTTTTTAATAAAGTATCGGCACGAAGTTTGTCTCCTAACTAACATCCGCATCTGTAATAGAATCTAGTTTCGGAAATTCCCAGTCTGTGAATAAGGTCGTTGTCGGCTACCTACGTGACCGCCGAGCTTTAAAGCCAACCTCAAAGCTATAATACTTCTGTATTCTTAATTTAGACATTATTAATCTCATTAATTAAAATGAACATGCTGACTCAGTAAATATTATTTATTTATAACAGAATATTATTTCTAAAAATAAAAAAAAGTATCAGTATTACTTTGATTTTCAGTAAACATTAACAAAAAAATCATGCGCGTAGTCAAGGATATCATATCACTAGATATAAATAGATACACAATTAGAATAACATCAAAATGTGACGACTGAATTTATATAACCGGCGTACAGACGTGAATGCTCACTAAATAATTTGAGAACATTATACATTACCCGCTCTGCAAGTCTCCGCCGTGAACAAACACGACGACAGGCAGCAATGTAGCGTCTTGCTTTTGTGGTGTGAATATGTTAACGACCAGGCAATTTTCGTCTCCAGCAGCTTTAACTTGAGGACACTTTATCTTATGCAGGGCTTCGAAGATGCCGCCCCACTTGGGTGGAGGTTGGGGGTCCTAAACAAACAGTACTTCAAGCCTAAATAATGAGTTTCGAAATTTAGTTGTTAACCTAACCAACTAGTACGGTACAATTGTTTATTAGTTGTATTACGGTCTGATGCAACTGATGATGAAACTTAATAAGCGTTCGGTATCTGTTTTATAAGACCAATGAAATAATGGGAATAGTTACAGGATATTCAAAATCACAAATGAAGTTGCATACCTAGTTATAAGAAAAAAAAATTTTTGTAAAACATTGGGACAAATCAGAATTAGGTATGTAGGTACTAGATACGAAATGCTCTAGATTATTTTCTAATGTAGGTACGTCTTTTTTTGACAAATCAACAATAAAAGGAACCACTTCCATCTCGTACAGCGAATTTTGTCGCTTAAGTGTACTGTAATAAGTAATGTAATATGGTATATTGACATCATTACGTTTATTCACGTAATTACGTCACACGTTTACACACAGAAAGGATCAGGAATCTAATTTTATTGTGAGAGGGCGCTGCCAGGGAACCAATCTGCGCGAGTTCAATTCCCACTTGACCTAATTATGGCAAAATCCTTTCAGGTGTTAAAAATATTTAGCTGTACAATAAATAAAATAATAAATAACAAAATATAATAATATATAATAAATAATAATAATAAATAACGATGATAAAATCTACTGACTACTGTCCGAATAAGCTCATTCTCTTGCACTAAATTAATCTCCATGACCTTTTGATATTTACTACTTATCCGAAAAGGCGAAGTTCATTAATAAGTTGTAGACAAAGTGCGTAAACTCTCAGTATAACAACGTTGCCACAAAAATCCATGGTGTATTCAACATTTATTTTCTTAGCATCCTCCCGCTGTCATTGACAAAGTCCTACCACATTACATGGTTAACCACGTTACAAAATCTCCGACCTATCCAATGTTTCAACACACTACAAATTGTCCTGTATCCACATCCACAACTATTTGCGTTTATCAACAAATGAATCAGCTGACCTTAAACCTGTCGCCTTGCGTGAGCGACCCTGCGTAAGGGATACCGTAGTACGCAAAGTGGGGTGGGTTGGAGGCGAGGTACCCCCGCACCGTGCCCTGCAGGGTGACCACGTCGCGGTGCACCCGCGGCACCGGGGTGGGCCGCGCCACGGCTACGTACGTCACTGTGCTCACTGTCAACACTACACCAACCGCCCCGAGCCGCATAGCCGAGCTTCGCGAGCCTCTACTCCATTTCGGAGTCCCGTGTGTGTCGCGGTCAGTAAGTGCTCTAGTTTATGTGTCGACTTGTCGACAGACGCGGATATCAAAACAGCCGGCGACTACATTATCAAAACATTGACACATGAAACGGTGGATTATTTACGATTATGACTCAGTACTCGTATTCCTAAACACTCCAAATACAATAGCTTCTGATTATCGCTACTGAAGATCCGTTATCGACTATAAACAATTTATTTACAGATTTAAGTGGCTTTACTAACACCAAATACGGTTTTATTAAATCTGTAATAGTTCTTTGGTGAAATAAACACCACTAGATACTCAGAATAAGAAAAGACCAGAGACTCGCATTATGTACTTACGTGCATGTAACTATGGTGTATATCAAAACAACTAAAATATGTGTACATGATTTAATCAAAATATACCTTCATATTATTTAAAGTACATGGCTTTTGTCACAGTGAATTAATAACTAATTAGCATCAAGTCATGGGTTAAACTGGTCCGTCAGAAGAAATGCCAGGCGTGCCTAAAGAATGTGATGAAGAACACAGCTTGAAGGAGGAGCACGGTGCAGACGCTGGGAGACATCCCGTAGGCGAGGTTCCTCTCTATGAAGTACTCCTTGTATATCTCAGTCCACAGCGTCATACGCGGCACGTGCACACCCTTTGACGGAGTCACGTCGGTGTCGATCGATAGCCAGTGTTCTTCGGAAGGGTCCTCGTTGTCAAACTTCTCCCAAGTTATGTCAGTGGAGGTCGGCGTACTGTGAAATATAAATACGTACGTTTGCAATATGCATGTATTATACATATAAACCTACCTCAAGAATCACTCTTACTATTTAAAAAAAACCGCATCAAATCTGTTGCGTGGTTTTAAAGATCTAAGCATACATAGGGACAGACAGACGGCGGATAGCGACTTTGTTTTATACTATGTAGTGACTTCCTGGAAAGCATTGTTTATTTTTGATGTCAAAATTCCCAATAATAAGGATCTAACATTGTACCTAGTGTTAGACTTTGACGTGCATCCAATTACAATGATACCTAATGTATGTGATAACTGATTTGACTACCTCGGTGACAGTAGTAAGCGCCAGGACCGAACCAAATTTTTAGAGGCTTGACTTTTTGAAAGTTCTTCAGTAATAGCACGGAGTCTAGAATAGTCGCCAGAGTATGGAAATAGTATCACCCCTATAACTAGCAAGAAGTGGGTGCTACATTGTATTTATGCACTACTCTTTCAGGGATTGGATTATGATATATGAACGTACCTATAAATATATAACTATGAATCCTATATATAGTACGGTACGTTTTAATTATCCCTGCGCCACTATTATCTCGTAATACATTACCATCACCATATTACACAGATAAACCGATACACTGCATATACTACAACGATACGTTCTTGTCTATTGCTTCATTTCTCTATTTACTTTTGCCATGGTCAAGTTACTTCGTAATCGAAACTACAGTTCAACAAATGGTTCAGTGTGAGTTGTGAGTCCACTTACGCAAATGTGACTGTAGGCACAAGACATACGGTACCTAATTATGATTGAACATTAGGAATTGTAAAATACTGGCACATCTTAGCCAATATAGATTTTTATCACGTTGCTACAATTATGGCAGATTACATTCACTTTTTGGTTAATAAAAAATATGTTACCCTGTATTGATGAAACTGGTCCATAATTCGACTAGACACTCCACCATTGATCGCTCGCCTGTATTTTCGGCTGGCACAATTCCATCTTGCGTGAAAATGTAACCAACGATGTCACCTCTCACTGCACCCTCTATCGGGCTTTCAATAGCATGCGATTCCCTGTTAAATTCACCAACAAAAGAAAATTCATAGAAGTATACCGTTGCACCAGAGCTTACTAACGGTCGAGCAGTGCGCAATGCAGGACCAAGATATGCAGCATCCGTATAATACAGTGTCAGTCGGTCCGCACTGCTCAGGCTAATAGTGTCCTCACCAAAATATTCAGTTTTTACTCTATTGCCTATTCTTGTTCTTTCGTCGTCGCTTGTGAAGTGTAAATCGTTTGGCAACAAAAGACCGACGTCTTCATTCAATTCCTGAACAGTTTGTTGTGTAAGACTTAAAAATTCATGGACGCCAGCATACTTGGCCGTACCCATCATAAACGGGATTTTAATTTCTTTGTTTTCCATAACTTTCCACGGAGTTTCAGTCATAAAAGGTTTATCGGTTTTTTCTAAACATGGTCTCAACGCAACGGTTTCTGCAGCTTTCAATAGTGGCTTTAGATCTACATCCTCAAATGATTTAAAATTTTCAATCTTACTGGATAAACGTGTTGCAGTATCGATGGGATCTCTGTCTATTGCCCAATGAGATAAAACTGAACCACTTTCTATGATAACTTTGTGGACATTCTCATGTGACATCGGAGACAGAGCCAGATATCCAGCTAACGCACCCGCGGTACCAATGCCACTTACTGCAATATTTCCAGGGTTTCCACCAAATTTCTTAATGTTTGTCTTTACCCAAGTCAACGCTAAAGACAAATCTTTTAAAGCTGCGTTACCAGGAGCAGTTTTGTCTTGCATACAAAGGAATCCGAGCGGCCCTAGTCTATAATTAGGTAACACCAGGATTATTTGTTTTGCTATTAAATATTCTGGACCGTATATTTCAGGATTGGCGCTTTCTCCAATAAAATTCCCCTCGTGGATGTGAACAAGGACACTCGCATTTTCAACATTAGGTGGTTTGAAGATGCTCAATGTCAGACAGTCTTTATCACCGACAACTTTATCATCTTGTAGCTGAGGACATCGAGATGCATGTTCTTTAATTTCATGAACTGTAGTTGATCTGTTTGGTGCTACTGGAGCCTGGAAAAAAGTAAAAAATCTCAGTTTAAAGAAATAACCGAACTGAGGAAGTGCTCCAAATGAATGAGTTTGAATATTTGGCAACTCTCTCTCCAGAGACGGTCGGGTAAATGTAAGTGAAAGTACGAAACACCAACAATTGTGTTTTACGCTCCATTATATCTACTGAAGCTCAACTACATATATTGCAGAGAGATTCAGCACCAATGGTTGAGAGAGCCCTAAAATATGCGAGAAGTAAAACTCACAGAAAGAGTGACAAAAAGACCGTCATTGGAGAAAATGTAGTTAGAAATAAGATGCAGTGATAAGAATTGGTAAAGGAATATTAAGATGGTTTGGTCATATTGAAAGGATGTATGCTAAAAGATTTACGAAAGAGATTTATTGAGCGAGCATGGCTGGGAAAGTAGGAATGCCATAGATGGACGGATAGGCGATATTTTTAAAAACGGTCAAATTAAAACCACCCTCAGTCGAAATCTTGCAATCTTGAATCAGTCGAAGTCGATGATATTGATGAATGTAGAGGAAAGCGAAAGAGCGATGCTAAAGTCATGTAATTTAGCGTTCTAACATTCTATTGTCTCTAAATGATAATTGACACTTATTTCTGCGAATGAGTTATAAAATAAGACTTTTACATGTCAATATATATTATCTGAATGGGATATGTATGTAATGAAAAAATATTTTGATCCTTAGGTAAATAGCAATTTTTTTTAATCTTACCTCAAATAGGCTGTTGAAAGTGCCGTATTTTATATCAATGTAGCTAATTATGTTTTCATTTTTCCGCCAGATATGACCACGTACTTTACCAGACGATGTGTCCACAACTAATTTCTCATCATTATTATCGTCACCATTATCTTCACCATTATCGTCACCATTATCGTTACCATTATTCTCAACATCCCCGTCATCGCCATCGTCGCCGGTTCTAATATGCAAACTTTCAGTGTTCATCCTCTTTTCTTTGTCGCCTATTGGCTCATGTCCGTATGCGACACTATTGCTATTAGAATAAGAGTTAGATTGTGTTGATGTGAAAGATTCTTCTTTCGTTGTGTTATGTGCATCTGCTTTGTCACCCGCTGCAAAATCCTCAGAATGTGTTATGGTGGAAACAAGCACTGAATTGGCCGTTTCATCAACGGCAACAAGGCTGGTACTGTTCTGGTCACTGTGTATCCCATGTTCTACAGTGAGGTGCAGCGCTGACGTGGCTACCACCAGCACCACATTTAACAAAGCTGTTCTCTTCCACCGCATTATATTCGTTAATGTATCGTTTTATTTTACATTCCTACAATCAAAGAATTTTAATAAGTTACAAGTCTCATAATGTACATAATATGACGTTTTCACTAACGGGTTAAAGTGGAGTCGAGTCGTAGTCGTAGATGAGGATTTCCATCGCGATAGGAAAAAAATCAACTTCATATACTGATATGAAGTTTTCTAAAGTGGCGAAAAGTTTACATGTAGTTGATTACGCTTGCTGAAGGCGGATGGATTGCGCTATTGTATATTGTAGTTACAACGTTGAGGAATAAAATACGTAATATTATGTAAACAGTCATTTTGTTAATGCGAATAAGACGTAGTAAGTGAACAAATAAAAAGTTGACGTACCTGTCCGTGATGCGATCGTGTGACCGACGGCTCGTCCCCAACACACTAAAACTATGGCAAAGCGTGGCGAGGACTGAAAGATCGATGGTATGGGACTATCGCTCACAAAACTAAATGTTTATCTACTGATATAATTTCCGAAACTTGTGGCGGAGGGGCTCCAAGCTTCATTCGATAAAAAACTCGGGTGTCCATCAGGTTAAGTCCATCAGGTTAAAATAGCATTGTCTTGTGTAACAATACAGCCATGTGCATTGTGCATGTACCTTTGTTGCTTGGCAGAAAAGCAAAGGCTACAAGAGCGTATTTCATTGTACACGTGGAAAACTCCTGTTTAAAATAATTAGTTACGTTCCCGCCTATTATTACGTGCTGTAGTATTTGCGTGAGGCGCTTACAAATGAGCAGCAAATAAACTAAAATAGTAATTGTTCTACTTTACATTTTCTATAAGTGGTTTACTGTAGTCCTAAAGAGTACGGCAGTGATGTGTACTCCAAATTGTTATAGAAATTTCTTTAAACTGATTTGAGAATTTTAAAAATGTTGATAGTCTTGCAGGTGCATTGCCATGCCAGTTTAATGTTCTAGTTTGACTAAAAGAACATGGAGCTAGTATTCTTCACATCTTCACACATACAAATAAGTTGAAACACTTCGGTTAACGAAAGATCAGGCAATCAATGAATTAGCCTGAGCGACCTTTAGGGCTCTTGAAATTTGACTATCGTGACGTAAGTTATTGATTTATTGTTTATAAAAGCAAGAAGCATAGCACACTTAGTATTTATTTATAATGTAATAAATAGTTGGTAGGAATCAAGCTTCAAACTATTTTGGGTCATATTTTGTTAGCGGCTGTACTAAGATTAGGCTACTTATCAGAGTTCAGTAATACCAATCGTTATCAGACCCTCAAAGCTATGATAACAAAAGCTCTGCTATTTATTTTATACTGTATCACCTAGGTACATATATTATGTTATTGATACTCATGGCGCCCAGGATTTTGACTGAAGACGACTTTCAAACAAGTATAAGGAAAAGTGATATTTAGTTGTAACTATTACCGTACTCTTGTATAATAGCAATTACCAAAACATTTCCAAAATCTGAAATCCTTAATCCTCCTAATGGGAAGACTCGAAATAATTGTGCAATGTTTTTGTTACAGGTAAATTGAGCAGCGCTTCTTCAATAGCATTTAAAGAGTTCGGTAAGGCAGCAATAAGAATATTTGTTAATACTTATTTGGTGCATTTTGGTACAAAGCACGTGGGTACACAGGACACATAGACTATGACGTCATAATTTTTGCGTCAAATTACCTAAACACGTTTTCGTGAATAACAACGTGCGTTATCGTAACATGAAACTGCTGTATCATGGAGTGGAAACCTAAATGTCAAACAACTTGTTGTTACTTATTTGTTTATCGGTAATAATACTTAAGTAAACTGAAATGGCTGGACTTGGCGAGTTCCTAAAAGACCCAAGTCCTGAGAATTATCTTTAATCTTACGACTTAAGAAAGATAATTATTAAAACTAGTAAACTGGATGTGTCGGCTGATGGGAATCGGACTCTATAAGCTTTCTTCTTAGAAACTAATTGTCAATCGAATACCACACAGATTATCACATCACCTCCAGGTGACCTATTAATTATCTCAAATGTCTTTCTCACAGTTCCATGTGTGTTTTTGTTGTAAATCCCTACGCAATAAATTGTACAATATTTCCGTTGTAGTCTTCGTGTACTATCGTTATTATGCGACCAGTTACACAAGCACCACAACTCCCGAAGTTTCCATTCATACTTAAAAAAGTACCAATAATTTGCATGAGCGAGTAGCCCCAGTACAGAAGTTAGGCTATTTAGCTGTTACGCAAATTTTTTAGCACGATTTAAACATGCAGTGGGAATAATGTATCTATCGTGCAGTGAACGAGGCAATAATATTGCCATAATTGTCTTAATTAAACTCGTCATTAAAATCGCGTGCATTTCAGACGGATTTATAGCTACAAGTAACAAATAAATACATAATACTTAAACACTTGTAACTCATAAAAAGGATGATTGAGAGATAAATTATTTTTGAAGTGTTCTAGTCTACAATCTACATTAGTTCTTCCCGTAATAATATGACGATAGACTTCAATAACAATGCATGTGCATCCTTAATCTTGTTCAACCTGATCGTATCAGGTGTAGCTTCCCGTGTTGCTTTTGTCATCTATCATGTTGTCGTTATGGGTGTATCCAAAGAGGAGTTCCTGAAAACGAAGTCAACCATTTAGAAATCTACAATGCTGACAGTTGCTAAATTAACTTATTCATTCCTTTCAGATGTTATTTGAGTTCAGAATAAGTTCTGAATGTACATACCTTGCAATTTGTTCGATCATATCGAAGAACTTGATTGTGTGTTGTTGATACTCGTTCGGCAGTACGTTGTCGTGTACTGTCGGTTCCTGGATGTTCTCATAGTTCAAGTGATCTGCCTGCACTGGATACCAGCCCGGCTCGAAGCAGGATGGCTTACTGAAATCAAATGAAATGATTGTTTAAAATCTACAAAATGTATATAACTGTTAGTTTTCCTTCTATTAGTCTTATGCAATTTGCTGTATAAGTTGTAAACTTACTTGCAATGCATGAAGTCAATCACAAATTGAGTCATCCAATCCTTCATGGAGTCATCTCTACTGACGGGAGGGAAAGTCTGCCCGTCGTCGAGAATTGCATTCTCGCGAAAAATGTTAGTGAGGTCCTCACAATGAGCTGTGCCATTGTACTGCAGATTGAGACCTACTTTCACCGCGCTGAAGTCTGCTTCGTAAGCGAACTGATACAAGTAGATTGGTGCGGCATCGTGCATTCTAGCCCTCCACTCAACTACTTTAAATGCTGGATACATAAACAATGTATCTCTGCATACTTCTAAATAGTCCTCCATATTTAGTTTTCCTTGGAAGTACCAATCAATTACTTTGTTGGCCAATGAGAGGGCTACATTAGGAAGGGTTGTAAATGAAATTTCAGGCCTTAAAATCACGAGTGGATTCGCTTTGATCCGACCCAAAATATCAATGTATAACAATCTTCTCTTGAAAAACTCGCACTCGTTGCTACTGAAACCGACTATCATTGGATATTCTTTTCCTCGACCTTGCTCCATAAGTGTAATTGGGTCATCATCTACAATTCTCTCAAGTTCCAATTGTTTGTCTTCCCTCACTGGTACAAAGGAAACTATCCCCCCCTCGTACTGGTACACGGAGTTAGCATTTAAAATATCCTCGAGTGGAGTTTTCACAAGTCTGTCATGAATGAAATCCGGATCCGAGGAGTTGATCCCTAAAATTGTCAGAAATCTAGTAGCCGACTGTTTTGCGTAAATCGGTGAAACTGTATAATACGCTGGTATGGCCGAACCACTCATTAATAGAACCCTGAAAGAAAACGTCTCTGTAATAGTGTAGAGAAACGAAAATATGTATTATTTTTAACATGTCGTCGTTGGTGACAACTTATTACCTTTTGAAAAGTCCTTTTGTGACGTTCGAAAGAGACAGTAAATGTGCGCATGTTGCTCCGGCGCTCTGCCCTGCTAGTGTTACATCGCTCGGGTCTCCGCCAAAAGCTCTCGCATTTCGCTGAACCCAACGCAGCAGCGTCACCTGGTCTCTGAGACCCATATTGCCAGGGATCTTGGGAGTATTAAGCGAAAGAAAGCCAAACACGTTGATCCTGGTGATTCAATGGTCAATTCTATCAGACTATTATACCTAATGTAGGTATGATTAAACTACGTACGCAACCTAGAACCTGTTTAACTGATACATGTTAACAAGTAATTAAAGTATATCAAAAATTTGACTAATGACTTTTAAAAATATAGATAACATTTTACTAATGGTTGATTAAAAATGCAAATGAATACCTATAATTGAAAGTGATCACAATTATCCCCTTGCTGACGAGGTACTCTGGTCCGTGAAGGTCAGCGTCTCCTGATCCTGATTGGAAACCTCCACCATGAATGAAAACTAAAATAGGAACACCTTTCTTTTCCCCATGATTGTCACAGTCTTTGTATTTGTACTCGTCAGTACTTTTCACAACTGGAAGAGCTTCCAAGGGTACATGGACGTTGACGTAGATACACGATTCACTCATACCCTTTGTGGGGGCCACCATGCGTCCGTACAGCTCGTCATGCTGAGGACATATGGGACCTTCCTCTGTGGCATCTAAATGATGAGGCCACGGTCTCACTGGCAGGAGCTCCTGTAAAATGGGGGAACGCATTCAGTTTAAAAAAAAAACCACCGCCGTAATTACTGGCCTACCTTAAACCGCAGCTCCCCCAATGGTTGCTGGCCATAAGGAATGCCCCTGAAGCTAGCGTACTCAGTGTTGTATTCTCCACGTCTACGCAGACCGCATACCCATCCAGATTCAATGCGCACGCGCACATCACATTTAAACTCACTAGATGAGACGATGTTAACTGGAAATAGGTATAACCCGAAAAGATATGTTTTAAACTGTCTTGTGGTTTAAAAAGTAACATGTATGTATATCATACTAGAACATTGAGGAACAGAGAACCGTGGTGAAATCGCATTAAAGAGATATTCCATAATATTATTGGTATTTAGTTACTAAGATACCAAATCTGGTGGTGGGTGGCTGGGTGCTGGTATAGTAAGTAACTTACCAGAGAAGCAGGCGGCGATCGCCAGCACGCTGCAGCGCCAGAGCATGGTGTGTTCAATTCTGTCAGTTTAACGCTCAACATTTACGAGCTACATATATATACCACATAATTGCTTGGAATGTAAGGCTTAGAACACACCTGACCTGTAGTTTCAGTGTCATTTGCTATTTGTTTATCAAATTGTTTTTGTAATTATGATGATACGTGATGTAATTTGTCGAATAAATGCTTTGTCACTGCGCATGTAGCACGTTCAACAATCTAAATCATTCTCAATATAATTCCCTATTTAAGTTTTAACACAATATTTTTTTATTTAGTCTTTGATTTTCGCAATTGGATTAAATAATGGCACATAAGGTAAACAAATATATGCTGATTAAGACCAACAGTGTGACCTTAGCTATTAGAGGGCAGATAGCAATCGCTCCATTGGAAATGGTGGCTGCAGGAAATTCAGTCGAACCTGTTTAAGCCTCAGCGCTGACTTAGGGTCAGCGCTAGTTGGACGACCCAGAGAAATGATTAGTTTAATTTAGAGAATATTATAATTTACGTTCAGGTTGATCGAGTACTCAGTGTGTACCGTACATTATAATGATTGCTGAATCTCGATCCGTGCAAATAAATATTTAATTTGGCTCTATGTGTATGTGGCTGGGTTTGATAACGTGCAGCTAGGAGTGCACTAAAACATGACCACAAAAACATATTTCATCTATATACTTATAATAAATCTATAGAGAGGTCAATTCTGCGAAAAGTACGCGACAAAATATAACAAAACTCGGTACATTTATTGTTTATCCTCCTGAGCTGGTTATAGTATACTTGTCATCATGCTACAATCCATGGGAGCGGAGCAAGTGAAAAGAAATGTTGGGAAACGAGAAAAGTTACTCCATTTTTTAAGATTTTTTTTATCTTTATGACATAAGCCGGTAAACGAGCAGACGGACCAATCGGCCAATGATGGTAAGCAATCGGCCCATGAACACCTGGAACACCAGAGGCGTTACAAGTGCGTTACAGGCCTTTTGGGGATTCGGAGTTTGAGGATCGTTGGGATTCAGGAATTGGGGAGATTGGGGAAGGGGAGGGTAATTGGGCCTCCGGTAACCTCACTCACACGACGAGCTTCCGTCGCGTGTAGGAGCTTCATGGTTAAAGCTACACAGAAATCATGTATGACGGAAATGTTCTTCTCAAACTTAAATAACTATCTGTAGCCCGCGACGACGCGCGTAGAATAATGACTTATAGCGAAATTGGGGTTTGTAAATTAGTCTTTTCCAAGGTACAATAGTATCAGTAACGAAGTTAATTTTATTTGTCAAATGAATTTAATTTCGTGGTTAAGAAAAATAAACAATGTCCCAGGGTTTTTACCCGTACAGTACCCGACCCGTAAGATATCAGTGAAAAAACTATTGTGTGTCTTGTTGTACCGAATTTCAACCAAAAAGTGGTTTAAAAGATAGAGAACGCCGGGATTTTTTAATTTTTTTACGCGTGATCTGAACTCTCCTCCCGCTTTGGTGACGCCCACTTCGCAACGGGCCGTGCAGCTGATCTGCATCGTAATATTTTAATGAACACTTCAAAACCAAACGTCCAAATTGAATCATTCCAAGACCTTTTCATTTAAGTCATCGTCAGGTCACTGTACATGTTGTGACACTTTAAAATGTTGTACATTTAATTATTATGTAGATACTTAAGTGTAAGACCTAATGTAACACTACGGGTTGTCCCAATCTATATATATAAGAATGTCGTGTTAGTTACACCATTTATAACTCAAGAATGGCTGAATTGATTTATATGAAAATTGATGGAGAGGTATCTTAGAACCAGGAGACGGACATAGGATTCTTTTTATAGAATACCTACTTTTTAACTTATTACCAAAAATCATGAACGGGAACGGGAAAAAACGAGATTACTCATACGTAGTCACGGGCAGAAGCTAGTAATAAGTAAATATCGACTCGACTGCACGGTTGGTGCGGTGGCTGGGCAACCGGCTGCCGTGCAACGTGTCGCGGGCACGGAACAACACTGTATGATCCACAAATTGTTGTTTCGAGTCTGGGTGTCACTGTGTGAACTTTTATGTTTGTAAACGCACCCACAACACAGGAAAAATCAAAATCAAAAAAATCATCAAATGACTTCTCCCGCCTCGGTGAGGCGGAAGGGAGTGTCAGACTCTTAGTAACTAAAACCCCCGCGCCCCTACTTCTGCCCTTGGAGCCGAAGCCCCCGTTAAGTCCTCCGTGGCTCCGTATCGGCATTAGCCCCTTTGGGCTCAATCCGTGGTGGTCTGATGGCTCTTTAAGTCGCGCGCGGAACGCGTCGCGCCGTACGCTCGGGTATGTAAGAGGGTCTGAACTCAAAATTTTAGGCGTAGGTACCAGAGGCCAGAACCACAGAACAGTGTTAATTTTTATACGGGAAGTCCGAGTAGAAAAGATATCAGAATTTTAAGTTTGGTTCGTGCCGGCTATTACAGATATACATACGCTTTACACATTTTTAAGTATTCTCTAGACCTATTCTTCTCATGGTTTCAGTTGCAAAACATGGGCTTTACGTCGCATCCTAAATATGTTCAACTTGCACAAAGTCATCGAATCACACAACATATCTTTATTATAAAATAATGATAAACTTCCAAAGCAATACATTTCCTTAAACTGATTCAACTTGATCCAATCAGATATACATAGCTTCTCGTGGTGCTTGTCGCTACTTTTGTCATCTATCAGCCTGTAGTTATGGAAGTATCCAGTGAGGAGTTCCTGGAACAACGTAAAAAATAAGAAGCTGAACACTTACTCATATACACTTGAATTCTTTTCACTTGACGCTTATTTGAGATCAGACATTCGTACCTTGCGATTTGTTCGATCATATCGAAGAACTTGATTGTGTGTTGTTGATACTCGTTCGGCAGTACGTTGTCGTGTACTGTCGGTTCCTGGATGTTCTCATAGTTCAAGTAATCTGCCTGCACTGGATACCAGCCCGGCTCGGAGCAGGATGGCTTACTGAAATCAAATGAAATGATTGTTTAAAATCTACAAAATGTTTATAACTGTTTTAAGTGTGGGAGAGCCATGCTTCGGCACGACTACACCGGCTCGACCGGAGTAGTAACACGGCCTCACAGAACACCGATGTGAAACGCCGCTTGCGTTGTGTTTCTTCGTGTGAGTATGGTTACCGGAGGCCCAATTACCCCTCTCCACAATCCCCGAATCCCCAATAATCCTCAAATTTCTAACCCCCAAAAGGTCGGTGACGCACTCGTAACACCTCTGGTGCTACGGGTGTCCATGAGAGGCGCCGAATGCTTACCATCAAGTGATGCGTCTGCTCGTTTACTGGCTTATTTTGTAAGTCTTGAGCAATTTGCTGTATAAGTTGTAAACTTACTTGCAATGCATGAAGTCAATCACAAATTGAGTCATCCAATCCTTCATGGAGTCATCTCTACTGACGGGAGGGAAAGTCTGGCCGTCGTCGAGAATTGCATTCCCGCGGAAAATGTTAGTGAGGTCCTCACAATGAGCTGTGCCATTATACTGCAGATTGAGACCTACTTTCACCGCGCTGAAGTCTGCTTCGTAAGCGAACTGATACAAGTAGATTGGTGCGGCATCGTGCATTCTAGCCCTCCACTCAACTACTTTAAATGCTGGATACATAAACAATGTATCTCTGCATACTTCTAAATAGTCCTCCATATTTAGTTCTTCTTGGAAGTACCAGTCAATTACTTTATTGGCCAATGAGAGTGCTACATCAGACAAAGTTGAAAATGAAATTTCAGGCCTTAAAATCACGAGTGGATTCGCTTTAATCCGACCCAAAATATCAATGTATAACAATCTTCTCTTGAAAAACTCGCACTCGTTACTACTGAAACCGACTATCATTGGATATTCTTTTCCTCGACCTTGCTCCATAAGTGTAATTGGGTCATCATCTACAATTCTCTCAAGTCCTAATTGTTTGTCTTCCCTTACTGGTACAAAAGAAACTAGCCCACTCTCGTCCTGGTACACGGCATTAGCACTTAAAATGTCCTCGAGTGGAGTTTTGACAAGTTGGTCATGGATGAAGTCTGGGTCTGTAGAATTGATCCCTAGGAGTGTTAAAAATCTATTAGCAGATTGTTTAGCATAGATCGGAGAAACTGCATAAAATGCTGGTATGGCGGTCCCACTCATTATTATAACCCTGCAAAAGAATGACGTCCATATTTAAAATGTTTGTAGAAGTATGAAACAATGTTTTATTTTACGTATATGGCCATCAGTCTATAACTTATTACCTTTTAAAAAGTCCCTTGGTGGCGTTGGACAAAGACAGTAAATGTGTACAGGCTGCTCCTGCGCTCTCTCCCGCTAGTGTTACATCGCTCGGGTCTCCGCCAAAAGCTCTCGCATTTCGCTGAACCCAGCGCAGCAGCGTCACCTGGTCTCTGAGACCCATATTGCCAGGGATCTTGGGAGTATTAAGCGAAAGAAAGCCAAACACGTTGATTCTGGTGATTCAATTATTTGTCAGATTTTTACACCTAATGTAGGCATTTAACTAGGCACGCAACTTTAAACCCGGCTAACTGATATAATATGTCAACAAATCTTCTTTTCTTATATATATAAAAATGAATTGCTGTTCGTTAGTCTGGCTAAAACTCGAGAACGGCTGAACCGATTTGGCTGATTTAGGTCTTGAAATATTCGTGGAAGTTCAGGGAAGGTTTAAAAGGCGATTGAAATGTGTGTTACATTTGACTAATACATATGACATTAAAAATGCAAATTAATACCTATAATTGAAAGTAATCACAATTATCCCCTTGCTGACGAGGTACTCTGGTCCGTGAAGGTCAGCGTCTCCTGAACCTACTTGAAAGCCTCCACCATGGATGAAAACTAAAATAGGAACACCTTTCTTGTTTCCAATATTGTCATAATCTTTGTCTTCGTCAGTACTTTTCACAACTGGAAGAGCTGCGTAGGGCACATGGACATTGGCATGGATGCAAGATTCACTCATACCCTTTGTGGGGGCCACCAAAGCTCCGTAAAGCCCGTCAGTCTGAGGACATATGGGACCTTCTTCTGTGGCATCCAAATAATTAGGCCACGGTTTAACTGGCTGGAGCTCCTGTAATGTGGAAATAGTGTTATTCCATTGAAATATCTTGTCTCGTATTATTATAATGATTAGTAGCTCACCTTAAACCGCAGCTCCCCCAATGGTTGCTGGCCATACGGAATGCCCCTGAAGCTAGCGTACTCAGTGTTGTATTCTCCACGTCTACGCAGACCGCAAACCCATCCAGATTCAATGCGCATGCGCACATCACATTTAAACTCACTAGATGAGACGATGTTAACTGGAAATAGGTGTAACCCGAAATTATATGTTTTACACTGTCTTGTGGGCTTAAAAGTAACATGTATATCATACTGCCTCGGTGGCCGAGTGGCCGCAAGTGCGACTGCCGGGCAAGGGGTCACGGGTAAGTGCCGTAATGTACACCTCTGCCTTCCCCTTCGGGGATAGTCAAAGTAAAAGTCACAATAATTTATTTCAATTAGACCAGAAAGGCACTTTTGAACGTCAACAACAAAAATTTTGAAGTGAAGGTAATTGCTCATTCCATATCGTAGATTCCTATGGAGAAGAACGAGCAAGAAACTCCATAGGTTACTCTTTTTTAATCGTGTTTACAATAGGGATAAAAGGCGTGATGTTATATTATGTATCCTTACTTCCTTACTTATATTATAAATCGGAAAGTGAGTTTGTTTATTTGTTCCACTTTAACGCCGTAACTACTAAACCGATTGCTTTGAAATTTTGCAGACGTAAAGTTAGAAGTCCGATTAAATAATAGGGTACTTTTTATCCCTGAAAAAATTGATATTCCCGAGGGAAAACAGAAATATTGTATAGATGGCGCTGTGTGTATTGGTATAGATAGCATTTCATCATTTAAAACAAGTCAACGAATTACCTACTAATTGTAAAAATCTAAAAAGCGTGATGTAACCGAATTCCACGCGAAATTTTATTGTTTGTTTGCCTAGAGGTATATTAAACGACAGAACGGAGGTACTAATTAACGTGATGTTTTAACTGAAGGTAGTTGAAGGGATGGATAGGCACATAGGCTACTTTTTATTATTTTATGACGCGAGCGAAGCCGCGGGTAAAAGCTAGTATTATATAACATTGACCATTGAGGAACAGAGCACCATGGTGAAATCGCATTAAGGAGATATTCCATAATATTATTGGTATTTAGTTACTGAGATACCACATCTGGTGGTGGGTGGCTGGGTACTGGTATAGTAAGTAACTTACCAGAGAAGCAGGCGGCGATCGCCAGCACGCTGCAGCGCCAGAGCATGGTGTGTTCAATTCTGTCAGTTTAACGCTCAACACTTACGAGCTACATATATATACCAGATGATTGCAATTTGCATGGAATGTAAGGCTTAGAGCACACTTGACCTGCAGTATCAGTGTCACAGGCTATTTGTTTAACAAATAGTTTTTGTAATTATGATGATACAACATAGACATGTAAAGTGTTTAAAAACAGGATTAGGGGCTCGTGTTCATGACGCTCTTAGTGGTTCTAGAGCTGTGGCCTGCCTATTACCACTTCAGCTTGCAGATTTTAAAAGTTATGTCTTTGAAAATGTCCCTAATTTTTTTCTTTTGATTTTCCTTACATTAGGATTTCGTCGCGCAAACAAACACCGAGCTTAGCTCCCTCCATCGCTCCCCCTGCGCGACTCTGAGTCTCTCTAAAAGGCTACAAGGTAAGGACTACGTCTCGGCAAGTACCGTGTGTCAATACCAGCAACATGTACTGGTTCTTCATTCTGATATTTTTGATGATTTGGCCTGCGGGATTTTCAGATTTCGCATAATTTCCCTAACGCTGCCCATTCGAGTTGGATTCTTCGGGCACCCTCTATCGAAGTTGGACTGCCCCAGCTATTTTTAGAGGGAACAAATCATGAAATGACGCCCTTGGTGATAGTCTAATGGCTTTTTGAAGAGGTCGCAGGACGCACTGTACGCTCAGATTTGGTTTGTTCGGGTGGCGAGCTACCCTTGCTCGTCGTCCGCAGATCCGTTCTAACGATGGCCTGAGATCCTGTGGCGGCCGGGACGTGAAAAATATCGTTCCCTCACTCACTGCGCCTTATCCCGAGTCAGCAATGGCTCCCCAGTTCCTCTCGTTCCGCACCAAAACCAAACAATTAATGTTGTAAGACGAAGTGTCCAGGGTGATCGTAACGCCTTAAATTATTGTAATTATTATGTTAAATATTGAATGTAGTGTGTGTGTCTAGATCGGAGTTTGTTCACGTGCAACTAAGACTACCGTAGTTACATTACCACAAAATTATATATGACATATACTGGTAATTAAACGAGTAATTAATTGGTCTGGCTATCTGTCCACACTGCTGTAGGTACTAGTCTACCACCTACAACAGCTGTTGTCACAACTGTACTTACAAGGAGATACGAGATGCGCGATGTGGTTCAGGACGTTGAGATAAACAAATTATTGAAGTAATGTATATCTCTTTAATTAACTAAAATTATACAAATAGTAAATGTCTTGCTATTGTGTACCGCCTGTTCTACTAAGTACTTAAGTATTTTGTGTCTAAAATACATTCACTTCGTAAGCTGTAGGTATGTCTTGTAAGTATCATTAGTAGTAGATAATTATGTAATTTGAATACACGTGCTCTGTGGTTTGTACCTATACATTATAGGTATGCTTATAATAGTATAAAGAGGAAAGATTTGATTTTTTGTGTGTTTGCTTGAATAGAATAGGCTCCGAAACTGCTGAACCGATTTGAATAATTCCTTTACTGTCGGAATCCTACATTATCGATGATGAACACACGCTTTTTTCAAGGACTAGTGATAGTAGTTAGTGTCAACAGAATCAGGGATTTTAAAGAAATAATACGAATTCAATTAATTGAATACATTTTATTCATGGACTAACGTTCAAAATATTAACGTTCGTATGTATTTTTGGAAATAACGTATTATTCACCTATTTCATAGTATAAAGCTTTTCTTAATACTATGCCCTTTTCTTTATACTTTGCCTATTTTGTGGGAATTATTCTATATAAATAATATTGCATAATGAAAACGATGTTTAATTAGAAATCCGGTTCCTTGTGTAGTAGTACTTGTCGTAGATGTCATCCCAGAGGTGCGATGTCTTCGAATGAGGATAGTCCTTCATCATCAGCTCGGTGCCAATGTCAGCAGACGGTATGTGTCAGGCTGTGTAGCCTCCCACTTTACTCCACCCTGGTGTGAAGGGTTCTGAAATCCAATATTGTATGCTAACTATGCAGGGCATGTTTATCTCTCTTACTAATTTAAAATGTTTGCTGTGCCCGACAGCCTGACTGCCCCTTATTGTTACTATTGTGTTTCCTAACCACCTGTATGTGTACATTACGGATGTAGTAAATTAATTTTTACCAGCTTTTTACCTGCTGAGCAACTGGTACTTAAATCATCGCTGTTATATAAACTGACGGCTAAATAAATTATCTCAATCCTTATTTTGAACTCGATTTTTGACATTGAGTTTTTGTCAATTTATATCCAAATGTTTTTATCGATTCGTTATTAATTTCGGCTATTAATCTGTCGGCACAGGCCTGCTGTGTCTGTCTAGACACGGCAAGGGGACTTTGTTGTACGATATCTAAGGACGGTTTGGTAGGTTATTTTTTGTGTTACAGTGAAGGTTATAGTCAAACGGACTCATGCTGATCATTTCTTGAACGCAAAAACTCGTGTATACAAAAACCCACTAACAAATGTTTCACAAAGTTCGTCCATAGTTTGATGACGTGCTTCTGTACATTCCCATCATCTCCTTCAAGATTTCCATCAAAGAACAAGTAGGCCAGCTCATCTGAATGCGCTGCTCCCATCTTCGGCGATCCGGGCTCTGGCTGAACCCCAAAGACACCAGAGTATGAGAACTGGTAGTAGAAGACAGGCGCTGTAGCCGCGTGATGACGCACGCTGCGGTGGATGTGGCTGGAGAAGTAGGCGTCCCTGTCAAGAATATTGAAAATCTTATGAAACTCGTTACTAAACATTTTAATCAGTTCGTAGGTCCCCGAACAAAATAATCTTACCTGTGGTACGCTAACACAGCAGCCATCGTCCTATTGTTCTTGAAATACATGTCCTTTATTAGTCGCCCAGTTTGTGTTCGTTCTCTTTCATTTGTGAAGTGTAAATCGTCTGGCAACAAGAAAGTGACAGATTTGGAAATTCTGCTCAACACATTAGCCTCCCTCAGCATGGACACGAACACGTAGGCTTCGTTACTATTATATCCAATGATCATAGGCACCATGTCATTCTTCTTACTCGCCAGTATATCGTGCGGTGCTTCAGACATCAGCCTTTCTTCTTTCTTCGAAGGCTTTTCGATGCACATTCCAAATGGGAAATACGAAACATTTAGTTTGTTACCTCTCGCCACCAAATCCTCAGTTTCGGTGTCCAGTAAGAATTTCACCAATTCATTTTTCGCCTCATTCACATTAGTCAAAGTTAAAAGACCAAGGGCATAGGGCACTCCCACTCTGCAGTATAGCACCATGGTATAGTCCACTGGCCATGTTAGACAGAAGTACGGCTTCCACCATGGCGGCACCGAAGCTTTGTCCAGCTACAACTACTTTGGCTGGGTTTCCTTTGAAAGCAACTATATTATCGCGCACCCATCGCAATGCTAACACCGCATCTTTCACGCCAGCGTTACCAGGAATATTCTCGTCTCGTAAACATAAAAAGCCCGATGGCCCCAACCTGAAACAGTTAAGACTAAATACTAATTTAATTCTAAATAAAAATATACGTCTGAGTTGTGACCGTACCTGTGATGCACAATGACCACGATGATGCCCTCCTGCACCATTCTGCCGGGGCTGTAGGGGCCGCTACCCCCCGTCACCCACACCAGCACGGGCCAGTTCCCGCCCACGACAGACGGTACGTGGACATCTAGTTGAAGACAGTGCTCAGCGTCCGACACTAAGGAACAGGTCGGCGACCTGGAGTTTCTGATATCAGACCACAGTGGAGCGATCCCTGCTCTCTGAAAATGTATGATGCTAATTTGTAACCAGACCGACCTGTCATAGTTTAATTGAATTAAATTCTTTGACCAAAGCCAAACTGTCATAACATAAACATGGTACCTACCTACAAGCTACCTGACTTTAATCTTACCTTGAATCTCCCCAAAGTGCCTGTAATACTTGCATAAGGTATGCCAGTGTAGGACACGTAGCCATCCTTGGTGATCCCTCGCAGCCTGCCCTGGGCCAGACTGATGACATTCTGTCCTGTCACCACCACTTGTAATAACACTATCAGCTTGCATACCAACATTTATAATAACTTTATAAAAGTGATAAATATATCCAGACTGAATACACGTTGTCTACTGACTAGTAACATGTGAAAGCTGTAGTTTTGTTAAACTGCAGTCTGCTGGCATGCGCAACAATGGGAAACCCCAATAGTTACACACAATGCGTGTATTATTGTGTATGATATTCAATATCGTAATGTTGCTATTATGTACAACTCGGTGTTACTCTCCCGATTATCTACAGCTGACATGACACGCACAGAACAGGTGCATGGAAATTAATTAGTAGAGATGCCAACTTTACTTGTGATGGTCCATTGCAAAACAATATTTTGGAATACCATCTAAAATTATACACTTGGATATAAAACGATTCGGGTGCAAAAAGATCCAAGAAATAAATTTATTTTCCCCCTAACATTTCCATAAATTAATGTCTTATCCAGGAAAAACAACCCTCTTGTTGTGCTTCGCCACAGTCAGGTAATAAAAATGCGATATGTATGTATATCCGCCCGTCGCAATTATTTTATTTAATCATTCAGCATGCAACCGTGTGCATCTGTGCATCATTGTACTCATAGCGGCGTCGCGTCGCACGGGAAGACACGAATTACATTAGAAAGTGAAATATTTACAATGTATTGTGATTCACTAAAAGTACACTTAAATTATAATACGTTACATCAGTCGCTTCATTGTGTCATTACATCAAATGGAATGCCTCGCTCACAACACAGAAATACTGAAAACAAATAATTACCGACGTGACAACATGCCTGTTGGTTAAAGTACCTGTTTTATATTCAATTTTTATTAAATCAATCAACAAAGACACAATAAATACTAAGTATAGCTGTAAGTTTTCATCAAGCATGTCTTTAAATAATTAAGTAAGATAAACAGATTTGATCCAATTACTACAACAACCCGGGTATTTACTGACTCGTCACTTTTAGTATTTCTGTGTCGTATTTCTAATGATCTATACAAACATATTTTTACAAAGATCTAATCCGTCTTACAAAAACTCGTCTTAAAATAATCATAGTGAAAACAAATTGCAAATTCTAACTATAGAATAGCTATCACTAACATTTATTACATTACTTGTCATGTTCTTTGTTTGTGAAAATGTATAACTTTACAAAAACATCCTATATAAGTCTGTGTCGCAAGTAATCAAAATTATGCTCTCACTCATCTCATTAAAATACAACAAGCCACCTAAGTTCTAAGTACTAGCTCAGTGATATAAAACCTCGAGGTAGTAGTGTATAGGAAATCAAAACTTCCCATTTTCGTAGCACCCACGGGTCATTTGAGAAATTCGACAACATTTGGACGACCTCATTAAACTTTCAATAAACATTGTAATTGTATCTCACCTTTAAAAATACACAAAACTTGTCATTCGAACAAATAGCAATATTAAAACGGAGACGAAGGCAAGACGTGAGTTATCGACTAGACTTGTGACATTAAACTTAATTTAAATAAATTATTGCAAACTGTAAACGGCTGTACCAGAGTCTTTGATCAAATACGCGTGTCCGACACTCAATGCTCCCTGCGCTGCACTGTACTGCCGGGCCACGGGCAGGTCAGTCTTACACCACGTTCACTCTACTGGGCAAGTTGTCGAAGAAGTCCACCACTTCCAGCTGTCTCATCGACCTGCTGTTGGTTCGCAAGACGCCGGGGGCTTCTATTACTTCGATTTGGTCTCCATTGTTCTCCGGCCATAAAGACCGTTTGTCGTCGCAAATCGGTTTACTGCAACAGAAAGTATTATTTTTTATTATAGTAGAACCTAGGGAATACAATAATTTTACTGTATTAATAACAAATGTGTAAATTACCTGCAGGACATGAACTGGACAAACAAGTCCGTCATGAAATTCTTCATTCGTAAGTCTTCCAAGCTCTGGGGGCCCCTTCCCGTCCCTCGAGCACTGAGTTTGCTTTGAACACGTACGTCAGGTCTTCAATATGGGCTGCCCCTGCGTAACTTAAGCCCGTGACTTCCTTGATGATGCTGGTCGGACTTTCAAATGTAAACTGATACAGGAACACTGGAGCGCCGTCCAGTTCTGCACGTTTTTGTACCAGCTTTAACGCGGGATATTCGTAGAAGCCCTCCGTACATGATTTTACAAATCCATCCATATTCATTCTACCGTCAGAGTATCTTCCGAGCATTCTTGATACCAAATTCGACCATGATTCCGGTGGAGTCGTGAACAATAGTTTTGGTGGAACTACAAGAAAATTATGGGATGCAATCTTCGTGATAAGGTCAAATGCTTCAAATCGATTGCGGAAGGTTTCACATTCAGAGTTCGTGTAACCTACTATGAGAGGAATATTTTTCCCTCGTCCTTTGCTAAGCAAGGCCTCCGGGTCGTCATCTATGATGGTGGTGACTCCCGGCAGGGGTGACTCCACGGTGGGGCCGAAGGTCACTAGTCCCATCTGATCTATGAGTTTGGTGTTAGCGTCGTTCAGTCTCTCGGCGGGTAGTTCGATGAGCTGGCGTTGTATGTCCTCTGTGTCAGTAGAGGTAATGCCCAAGAATTGCAAATATATGTTTTTAATATGTTGCGCATACGCAGGAGAGGAACTGAAGAAAGAACTCGTTGCTGTTCCGCTCATTAATATAGCTCTGAAATTAGAAAACGAGACGATATTGTAACTTCCATTGCTATTTTGTTTGGCTGTTAGGAGAGTTGTCATATTTGAAACAGACGAACTTTTACTTTATTGTTCAGTGTGAGCCTATGTCCTCTGCACTTTCAACTATGTACCGTGTGTTCATTAACATTGCAGTTACTTGTTTAGTCGCTGAACAAAACACAAGTGCAATAGTATCGTATAAGTATTGAATGGGACCTACCTTCTAAATAACCCTTCCGCAGCTGGGGACAAGCTGAGTAGATGTGCTGCCGCAGCTCCGGCGCTCTGGCCAGCCAACGTCACTTCTCTGGGGTCTCCTCCAAATGCCTTCGCGTTCCTCTGCACCCAGCGCAGTAGCGTCACCTGGTCCCGCAGACCAGCATTACCTGGGATCGCCGTCGTGTTCATTGATAAAAAGCCGAACACGTTCAACCTGAAACGTGAAATTTTTTTTGAGAAATATTTCCTGACATACGTATACGTGTGACCTTGTCATGATCATTGGGCAAGGAGCAGAACAATGCCTGTAAAGTGATAAGTTACATCTACCATTGCCAAACAACAAAAAGTAATTTATTTGGATTACAACGTAAATACAAGCAGACGTAGAAACGGTGTAGTATTGAAACAAACCTGTAATTAAACGTGATGACGATGACTTTCTTGCTGACCAGATACTCCGGCCCGTGTAGATCCGCATCACCAGAACCGAATCCGAACCCTCCTCCATGTATGAACACGAGGATCGGTAGGCCAGGCAGAGTGACGTCAGGATGTTGCTCTGGGAGAGCTTCCATGGGGACGTGGATGTTGGCGTGAATGCAGGACTCGCTCATCCCCTGCGGCCGCATGAGCCGTCCGTACACGACGTCATGTTGGTAACACACCGGCCCTTCGTCAGTCGCGTAGTAGTAGTCCCATTTATCTGCTGGTTCTAACTCCTGTAATTCACAAGTTTCTAATAAATCATCCGAAGAAACCGCGTGTTCAAAGTGGACAGTATTAGGTATATGAAACTTATATTAAGCATGGTACATCGGCCATCGTCGGATTTAGAAAAGACAACAATCCCTAAGCTTATTATATCTCTTGCACCAAATAAGTTTCATTGTTTATACATAAAATCGTAACAGTAAGATTAGTATGAATTCTTAAAACAAAAAAATGAATGTAATGTTTTAATGTAAAACGTGCACTATTACTGCACCTATCTGTCATGTTTACAAATTGATGACTCCTTATCTTGAAGTATACGTATAAATAGTAAATACACAATGAGTTTACCTTAAACCTCAGTTCTCCCAATGGTTGCTTAGCGTAAGGTACTCCTCTGAAGCTGGCATACTTGACGTCCCCATCGGCTATTCGTTCCACGCCACACACGGTCCCCGACTCGATGCGCGCGCTCACTCGACATCGCTCCGAGGGAAACACGTGGCCAGTACACGCTGTAACGCAGAGAATAACATTCTATTATTGTACTGTTACTGAGCACATCTTATTTAATACATAACAACTGATTCTGTACGTAACATGCATACGGACAGACGTACACGTGTAGTGCAACAATCGTAACAATAGATAGATATAAAACAAGTTTCGAAACGTTCCATATTTTTATCGATCATGCAATTTATTAACGTGTGATGTGACACGGTAACTCCTCCATGTGACTCCTTCCAGTTCACTAGGGAACAAACATATTTTTGTTTGACTACCGAACTAAGAAAATGAAATTGAATAACTCAATGATATTAATTATGTCAGCCCGACCCTGCAAGGCTGCAATCGTACCCGAAACTCCTTGCTCAGAAGTCACGCTTGCGACACCACACCTTAAGATTTTATTTCATTTAATAAGTTCACAAGAACAAACAATGTTCAGAATTAGACGGTACAAATAATATTGGACAACACATACAACCAGCCACCAGAATGAAAACAGTTACCTCCAAGTGTCCGAGGCAAACGTTTTTGTATGTTACCTTGTTTCATTTCATAGTTGTATTTATATGTTTCCTGATTCAAATACACGTATTCATAGTCCTCAAAACAAAACCGGTTTCTTCAATGTTCATAATAATATGTTTTATTTAATTAATCTTGTTATAAATAGCTTCTTTATACTGGATGACCTTAACGTGACAATACAATCAATCCTACACTGCGTTACGGCAGGAGCTTAATTATATCATTTGATACATTTATATAATATAATCTTTGCACACAATCGATACTTATTTTGACTTGTTTGTTAAGTGCACAGGTGACTTGTAACGTGTTGCTTGTTCGATTCCTATTCGGAACAAATGTTTAACACATAATGATATGTAACTTGTGTTTGTAAACAAAACCACGATATAGGAAAAATATCAGCACTAAATTGTAAAACGTTCATTCAACATAATAACAATGAAACCACAAGTTACTTGTGTAAAGCATTGACCTGCCTACTGCCTACGCCACACTCGACTATACAGCTACATTTTTATTATTCCGCTCAGCACATAGTAACGGTTCCGTCTCATGTATTGTCTGCTAAATAATAGGAATGTCTCCTGATTGATACGGTACTCTAAATGGCGAACCTATGTCGTATGCGAACTCCGTATTATACAGTTTGGCTAGACTAGGTATTGCCAACTTTAGCATTGTGACCGTTTAAATGTTAACAATCGATTGTGTTCCCCATCTCTGTCACTTCAATACTTATTGTTAAGAACAAGGCTCTATAATTTAAATAATAATTCCTCGGTAATTAGACAAAAAGTATGTGTTTTTTTGTAAGTATAACATTAACCCATGACATGAGATTATTATGAGGTACGCTGAGAATGGTGCGAGTTTTTGTACGACAAGTAACCGGAGTTATTGTACCTAGGACCTTGTCTCACGGCGGACACGTGTAGCCGGACGAACTATTTGGACAGTTACATCTAACTCGATCTGCATGGAAATTACAGTGACACACAGTTTTAAACAGTGAAGTCAGTCTCTTATATCAGTGTTCTAAATATTTGTTGTAACAAATTGTTCTATCTACTAGTTGTAGATGTTTGTCGTATGTGTAAATTGTACATAATTTTGTCCCAATCGTAACTTCATAGACCAGTTTATACAAATACAAAAGGTCATAAAACAAGAAACTAATTTATCAAATAACAATCTGATTCAGGATTACAAATAAGTTATATAACATTAATTGTAATTATTTGATATCATAAACAAGATAACGTCAAAATGTCAATTAACAGATCCGTAGACACTATTTATTAATTAATATCATATTATTTCGCTTTTTAACTCGAAAACTCAAAAGTGAAATCTATGAAATATAAATCCAAATTATCTATTAAAAACTTACACAGAGACCCGTAATTTATGCAATAAACAATTTTACTCTTGATATTAATTATCTTTTTGTGAGAAACAGAAATATACTATGTATGTGTGTAAATGTGTGTATTTTCTTTAAATAAAATCAACCTCTGTTTGATGACAAACAAACATACAAGCTGGGCCTCGCTACTCAGTGCGTCAGTGCACAGGTACTGCAGTCTGTGCAGCGTGTACGCAAGCACCGGTTTATCATTAATCCGCTTTCCTAAGCCGACTGCGGGAGATAACCTCAGGTCCCGTAAACATACTACTTCACTTCGCCACATCACGTTATTTCGACAGTCTCTTATAAACTCGATAATTACCTTCTACCCGCCAATCTGAAACCATCAAATGTACAAATAAATAATAAATAATCTTCTAATATGTACATTTGTATTGATGTTAAATTCTTTCTATTTCGTGTAAATGTATATTAGTTCCAACATTATAACAATGTCTATATTAAACAAAATGTTATAAAAACTGAATCTGGTTTTATCAACGATTTTGTATAAAATTCACATTGGCACACCCCATTACTTTTCATTGTTAAAATATATATATCTGAATATTAATCTTTTACGTAGCAGAAACATATACAGTAGCAGTAAATAAACAGTAGCTGTATATCTCTTACACTAAAATAGTATATTATATTTTTATTACATTCCCAAAAAGTCCCTATTTTACAATAACTCGTGAATGTTATTAATTTTTCGGTTGCAAACCTTGGCATCGTAGCTCGTAGCCCGTAGCCGTAGCAGTTGCTACGAAAGCTACGAGATTTCAACCGTACGGCGGTGTAGGGTACCGGATAGCTCATATTTATACCTTTACTTACAATTCTTTACTACGGCCGAATTTATATATATTCTGTTATAGTTTATTTATGTTAATCTAGTTTTTGTGTATTTAATTGTCATTATAAATTATACACCGTGTTCATCTTACTCATACCTACACTTTTCAATTTATTTAACACTACCGAACTATTGTTGTTACAAGTGACCCAATTTTCAGCAAGTTGATATCTACTTCAGCGTTGAACACATTTTGTAAATAAATCACGAGAATGAAAACAAATGTTATTGATAGTTGTCAATGTCATGTATTGAGTACATTATCAGCAGATGTAGCGTGCGCCCGCGCAGCGCCCGGCGCCCCGTGACGTCTCGACATACATAGTTACTGGCAGATATCAAATTGCCAATATTGCTTTTTCTGCTGCAGGGTCAGCAGAGGTCGAGGTGTCGTTTGGTTTACTAAGTAATCGTGGAATAATTTCACCGACCTACAAAGTATGACGACCTGCACTCGACATTGTACGCAAGTGCATACTTTTGTCACTGTAACATAACTTAAAATTACCCTATATTTTGAATAAATTATCACTATTATATTTTTAAAATGAACTAGGTCGATCACCACTGTAATGTCACTTATAAGTATAAATGCACTGGGTTGTGTTCACTGCGCGGTATCGTACTCACCGGGCAGGAGCAGCAGGAGCGCGAACATGTACGGGGCGAGCGTCGTCATGGCTGTGCGAGGAGCGGCACACTGGCCGCGCCGGCGCCCGCCCGCCGTATATATCGCGGCACACGACACGCGCCCGCACCCCACACACACGCACCCACTGAGCTTACTGCTGCAACTCTTGCAAACGTACCACTTCAACTTATATCGGAGACTAGGCTTTTGTGAAAAAAAAACATTTTTGAATCTTACCAATTCTATGTTCCTCGAGGAAATGCCAGTCGTGGCGTTGTTATATGTTGTTGTATGTTATGTAAATGTATCATTAAAACACCTATTGTTTTTGTTTACATTGTATGATATATTCCATTAAAACATACGTGTTCCATCATATACGGCATCGTCGCTTAACGCCAGGCAAAAAAACATCGTCAAGATAATTAATCTTTAAGGAAACTCCAATTCTAAGATTAGCTACAACAGTTACATAACCCGTCGTTTCAAATATAATAATTGTTATTTATTAAACAAGTTATGTTAATGTAGTTTTTCGTCTTGTATGATTTAAAATTTGGAATATACACGTGTAGGTAAATGACAAAACATTCTAGATATTATAAACTTCGTGGCAATATTATTTAGCTACACTAATTGTAAGTGATATCCAAAACACAATACAAGGAGTTGTCTATTGATTCTCATGTTTTGTAATGTTAACAAATCCTGCTCGTGCTTATCTATACTTGTCTTATGTTGTGAAGCTGATCTCCAGAAGTACGGGTTCGAATTGAATAATTGTTCTTGTAGGTATTGCATAGTCCATTTATCGAGGTAGGCAATAATAGCCTATAAAATATCACGCTATGATCAGTAAACGCAGGTAACACGTATAAGTACTACTTATTTATTTATCATTTGATAGTAAACCTATCATTAAAAACATTGAAACCTCCCGCCTCTCCCCGAATCGAACCTCGTTAGCAACAGTAGGACAGGTAGATAAGTATCTCGAGCTGGCTGTAGTGGGAGGCTGCACTACAATGGTGGCAGTCAGGGACTGTGCCACGTGTGCACACGGTGCCGCCTCCACAACAGCGGCGCGTGTCGCACGTGGAGCCTGGGCGAGCGTGCAGCGTGCCCCTACCTTCTCCACTTATTTTTATACACACGGAAACTTTTCCAACGACTCATGTCTTACAGAACTGGACAACTGTTTCAAACATTATCTTGTTTTCATTCTTATTTTTCCGCGTAATCATGTTGAAGTACGACTTCTGAACTAGGAATCGCGCATTCGGTTCCAGTGATGGGCAAAGTTGTATAATGTTATTACTCGTAGTGATTGCTCTCTAGTAGCACCTGCCATGGCCTATCCATTACAGATATCGTTATAAAACTTGCGAAAGATATCTAGGTGTTACATAAAACCTTCGGGATTAAATGACCCATTACTTGTTCATATAATAATTATTTAATAGTCTAGTTCCATCTATATAATTATATTGAAATTAACTACTACCGCGAGGATCTGACAACAATCATTACATAGTATAAAGCAAAGTCTGTTTCCGCCGTGTGTGTGTCTGTATCTATGCTTCGATCTTTAAAATCACGATCTTTGACGCAGTTTTTTTAATAGATAGAGTGATTCAAGAGGAAGTTTGATAATTACTTACATTACATGCATAATATACTATGTAGTCGAGATTTGGAGAAACACTAATATCCGTGCGAAGCCGGGACGGATTGCTAGTAAATAATAAACCAAAGTCCACGGGTTAATGTTGCACATAAAAGTAATCGATGTGGTCAATTAATGTACTTTTATGTATTTTATGTAAAACTAAGGTAAACAAGGAGCTGTTGTAGCAATGGCCAGTTGTACTGACGAACTGAACCGTGACCTTACAAAGATTCATTGTCTATTCTGATTGTTACAACCAGATATTAAATGTTATCTGTTCGTATTTACATAGCTAATCACTGGCCAGCAACTAAATGCTCAGTTCTAATTCTGCATATACATCATACATACACATATACGTGTATAATTTTTATTATCTGTCTACCCCCAATGCACAGAGGCGTGAGTTCGTGTAGATACATTTACTATTTGCATACGATTCATACTTTTACATAATTTGAACAGAGTTAGATATAAAAAATTAAAAACTCCTAAAAATGAGCTCCCTGTGAGGACGTCTCACATAGAACCTGAACGTAACATTTTTTGTTTTTATTATTAAGATTCACACCGTAGTGTTATATTGGCATCCCATGCTCGCCTCTAGTCACACCGTGGGTACCATAAACCTGCGAAATTATACCATGTGACCTTGCACGATAGGTGTTCTAAATATATTCACATATTCTTCCACTTGACATAGCAAACAAATTCCGGTTACGTAAAGTAACTCATTCGATTCTTTTTTACAACGAACTTGTTTCGCGAACAGGTCATTGACATAAATAACTAGGAAATGTGTATTATCGTGTGAATAAAACTAGATATCCTATTGCGAGCGTGTTTACATACAAATCGAATTTATTTCATTTTACGACTATACTGGACACTCGACTACACCTGTTGACATTTATGAGCGATTCGTAACCAAACGGTTACGAATCGCTCTTTGTATATTGATTTCGAGTAACAAATAATTACATCTTGCTAAAAATTATATTTCCAGAACACCTAACAGGACAATTAATGTCACTCAAATATTGTTAGTAAGTATAAATAATTCATTAATATGTCATTTTTGTTGCAGGTAATATTGCTGCCTACATCGATGGTCATTTGCCGTATACATCTGTAACACATACACAGGTATATGATGCGTCAGTTACAAAAACCTGCGACGTCCTCATTCTACCCCTTCACTACTTAAAATAAATCATAATTATCATTATGTACTTGACATAGTAAAAAATATATCACGAATCGTGTAATATACACAAATAAACAAACAGAACAACAATATGTCAATAAAAAGTAATCAATTACCAAATGACCTGAAAAAACATAGTGGCGGTCCATTGTGTTATCTCTTGGCGCGTGTAACTCACAAGTGGGTCAGCTCAGCTCGCTGGCTGACTCTTACATCCCTGAGGGTATGAATCACGGCTCATAGCCTTGTGATACCTTCAAAGTTCATTTCCACTGGAAAATACTAACATTGTTTGATTTATAATAATATAATTCGATAAGTACATTGTTAAGAGATGACTAAATCCAAGTACCTAAACTTGTTGTGTACGTGTAGTATTCCAAACACTTACGCTTTAGCTATAAATGAGAAAGGATTTCTACGTCTATTATAAGTAAGTACGCACTATACTATAGACAACATTTTGTTACAAATCTGCGGAAGAACGAATGTCTTAAAATACATACACTATGCATAATTATCATTTAAAAAACCTGACAGAATTTAATGAATATCAACGAGCAATTTAATTTTAATCGCATAAAAAACAAGAAGAATGTTTCCTTGAAAGAATTAGAGCAATAAAAAAGTCCCACAATAATTATCACATGTCTGTAGAAGTAAAAAAGCGGGTTACTGCGTGCCCAGTTACCTTGACCATAGCAGTGACGCAGCACGCAGATATGACATAAGATGCACTTGATAACTCAACCGAAACAGATCGCACTCGTCTTTAAAAATACCGCTTTTAATAATCCCGGAACTCTGATGTAACCCAAGGACGTCTGTGATAATCTGTGAGATTCGGAATCTTTCACACACTTCATCGATATAAAACGAAACGGACTCAGGACTTTTTGTTCTTGTCACGAGTTAGTTTTCAAACACATTTTTAAACCTACACTTGAGTCTATGCAACAATATGCAGTATATTTAACCTCAACTTTAAAACTACGATCTCCAACGCGCACGTGTGGAAACTTTAGCAGATCAACTTATGTACAAGAGGGTAATGCAGCAATGAACTGTCACGTGCTATGACCTAACAATCAATAGCTTTTACTCTTTTACCCAATAACAAGAGCACAATCTCTTAAATATAGGTACTTTAAACCAAAATTAATCTTTCTTTAGTCCAAATGTAGAAGTGATGTCATTCCAGGTTAAACTAAAGCCACATAATCACTTTCTCAAGTGAAAGATTAAGTTGCGCAAAATCAGTCTATAAATATCTACAAACCTATAAAATAAAGGTAAAACAACTGCGAACCTTACTGCTTCATGTTTAAGTTGAAAATGGTGTACTAGAAGCTGTTGTCAAAGCTGCTGTTATCAGTCGGTCAATAAGTCAACAATGTTTCGGTTCAGGATGATATTTGATGAGAATTAAGATAAAAAGTGGGCATTTCATACACGTGTCGAAGTGATTCACACGTGGATATCCTGGCCTTGGAGAGCGCACAGTTTATGTCTGTAACAAGAGTGATTATTATTTAAAGTTATCTGTGCACAAATGATCATTTGTTTAACTTCACATGTTAGTTCTTTGTTCCTATGGGGACATGATTCTACTGCAATGTTTCCGTTATTGAGAAAGTATGTTGGAGAAATTAAACCAAAAAGTGACAAAACCTTGTCAAAAATATATCGTGCTTTAGAAAAGGTCCAAGACAGTAAAATGTATTTATTGCAAAATACAAGATTATTATCAGTTGTTTGTTGAGTGCAAGGTATCGACGATATCTTTCAAAGTTTTCCTCTCATAAAAATCGAATTTCTGGCTATTCTGTTATCATTTTGGTTTTCATATCTCTCCAATATTTTGCCAACAAGCATTGCATCGTAGCTACATGAGCGATTGTTCGAACTAATTAAGCGTTGCAAAAATATCTAGCTCGTGATAACGTGCAGTGATAATGTACCGCAGCTGACCCGCAATATTCACACGTTGCGATGCGGAAACTCTTGTCTGCGCTGCGCCTTATCACAATAACTTCAAATCTTCGCAGACAATGCGGCACCAAATATTTATATTCCCCACAAACACTGCCCTCACACAAACATAACTCTAGTTCCGTACGTTTGTATTTACCTGCACCACCACCACTACGGACTTCTAATTCAAGCTATATTTATTTATCTTTGCATAATAATACACATCAACAATGCTATCGTGCTATCAGCCAATCAAACACATTGTACTTTCCATTATTGTGTTGTCTTAGAAGTTGCTATAATTACATAGAAGTGTTTACTTAACTACCTCGTAACTTAGCGCCAGTTAGTATCAGTTATTTAATTTACGGCAAACCGATTAGAGTAACCGCTCCTTGTAGGATAAGCATACGGCTAACTTCAACGTACATAGCTTCACTGCTACAAGAATACTAGATTCGGGTAAGGTAACACAAGTAGGTATACTTCGCTAGGTGGAAATAGACAATTAAACTGTCAAACACCAAGCGGTCACCGGTGACCGCGACCTATTGTTCTTTAATTGTGTCTCATAGATCGCTATTCCTTAAAGATATTGTAACATTTTTATTTTCCTTAAATATTTCTAAACAGTTATTATTTAAACAGCGTAATCCAATTGATAAAAACCAATTTACTGACATCAGTC